AGAGGACGCCATACTAGGAGGAGACTCTATGGCCAGGGGTGGGTTTTCTGGTCAGCTCCACAATTGATAGGGCTTTTGGTTAGGACAGGTAGAGGAAAGAGGACGCCATACTAGGAGGAGACTCTATGGCCAGGGGTGGGTTTTCTGGTCAGCTCCACAATTGATAGGGCTTTTGGTTAGGACAGGTAAAGGAAAAAGGACGCCATGCTAGGAGGAGACTCTATGGTGGGGGAACCGGACTTCCTGTCGGCTCCAGAATTGAATGGGGGGCTTCCGGTTAGGATCTTTAGAATACTCTTTGAGTGTTTAAGGTTGCCGACCCCTTGACTAGTAGAGATGAAAAAAGGGAAGCATTTTTTTTATTTTCTCTCAAACTCTGGAGTAGAAATCATAAGGCCATGTAACCCCTCCTGTAAAAAGTAGAATATTTAAACTACCATGGAAAGCGAGGTTTTTAGTGATCAGACACTGCTGGGAGGAAAGCTGGGGGGCATCTCAGAGGTTTCTAAGGGATCAGTGGTCCCCTACACAGCTGCCTGCTCTTTCTTATAGAATAGAGTAACAACGTTAGTGTCTCTTTGAATGTACACTAATCGGCATATACTGAAATGAAATTTCATCGCATGCAGCTCTCAAAGGGTCTCCACCTCCAATATACACTACGTAAAGATGGCAAAACAAATAATACAAAATAATTACTATACCTACATATATTATATGGCCCAGAGAAACAACACAGTATAGTTTGGATGTATACATGCACACAGCGAGAGAAATGAATCTTCTGAGTTTACCAGGCGGATAGATGGCCCAGGGAACAAAGCTATTACAGAATCTGGAAGTCCTGCTAGAAATACTTTGAAACCCCCTCCCAGAGGAGAGCAACAGAAACAGACCATGAAGTGGGTGTGTGTGGGGTCTCTGACAATGCTTTGAGCTCTAAGCACATAGCACTTATAAGCCGTATTCTGAATAACAGGAATAATCTTCTCTGCTGTCCTTACCACTCTCTGTAGGGACTTTCTATCTGAGGCACTTCTCTTCCCATGACCCAGGAGAACCATTGTTAATGGGAAAACATTACCCCAGGTCAGAGGGACCAGCATACTGGTGTTCAGCACTCACTCTCTCCCCTCCGCCCAGCTGAGTTCTGAAATACTTACAGCTCTGTAATCCAGGAACATCTCTTTAAATGCCAGAAAGTCAGTGAACGTGAGAAGCATATCAAAAATGTCTCCAGCTATTTCATCCTTGTGCTGCCTGCAAGTGAGGGATTTGGATAGGTGATTAATGTAGAAAAGGTATTTGACAGTGTAAAGGATTATAAAATTTGTTCTGGAGCAATGAAGAGGAAAAACACTACAGGTAATCCTTGCTTAATAGCCACAGCTGGGTCAGGCAACTTGGTTGATGAGTGCCGTTAACAGTCGTTAAGTGAAACATCATGTGGCCATGACTGCGGTTTCACTGCCAGCTTCTCCACTTGCTCTGCTTGTCAGAAGCCAGCTGTGAAGTATTCAAATGGTGATCACATGACTGCAGGATGTTGCAATAGTCATAAGTGTGAGGAGTGGTCATGAAGTTATTTTTTCAGCGTCACTGTAACTTTGAATGNGTTCGGTAGATTTGACGAACCGGTTCTACCGAATAGGTGCGAACTGGTAGGAACCCACCTCTGAATTGCTGCCATGTTTTTCAGTTGAGTCATATTTACAAGACTCGTTTCTAGTTTTAGCAATTAGATGAAGATGTTTCAAGCTTAATCAAATGTTTTACTCCTGAGAAGACCAATATCTTTGTGAAAGGCAAGAAGCAATGGGTGGAAACCAATCAAGGAGAGAAACAACCTAGAACTGAGGAGAAATTTCCTGACAGTTAGAACAATGAATCAGTGGAACAGAAGTTGCCTCCAGAAGTTGTGGGTTCTCCAACACTGGAGATTTTTAAGAAGAATTGGGCAACCATTTGTCTGAAATGCTATCATGTCTCCTGCCTGAGCAGGGGGTTGGACTAGAAGACCTCCAAGATCCCTTCCAACTCTGTTCTTCTATTCTATTCTTCTAAATGGCCTGCCAGTGGTTTGATTTTTCATAACTATTTTCATTCTTTAGGTTTCAGTCTAGATCTTCCATACTTTATTCTAGTTTTACTCAGAGCCACTGGGGGTTGCCTCGAACAGCTAATGGAAGGCATATAAATTTAACAACTAATAATAAAAAATTAATAGTTACGGTAGCCATTATTCAGAAGCTGCCTCTGAAACCATGATTTGGAGTGTGGAATGGATGTGATGTTTCATGAAATAATAAAAACAGTGATAATCTATGCAGATATCTGTTTTCCTTCAAATGACACTGAACAGGGGAGTACAGCATTTTTAAATCATCCCACCTCTCATTAAGAGCTCCACTATGACCAAATGTATATTCAGGGAAATGGTGGAGTTGAAATCCTAAGGGTCATCCAGAAAGTATGGAACAAAATTGCTTTTTTAAAAAATGGTTTAATGTTCTTATTCCTTTCTCTGCCTCCTGTATGATTAATTCAGTATTTTTGCTTCTGTCAAAAGGAGGTTAAATAAGGCTAGATTGTTCTATGTACTCTGTTTTGGCTATGATGTGTTTCCTAACATAACAGATTTATTTCGCAGAGTTGGAGAAATGATTTACATTCTTCATAACTACCCTCCCAATATTGCCATTGAATTTTTAAAAAAATGCTTGATTTTCCACCAGGACATTCTGAAGACTTTCTTACTGTCCCTCTGCAGAGTTTTGGGGATTCCAAAGAAGGAAACAACTTTCTGTAGTAAAATGGTTTTTTATATGGAAACAGACTTTTCTCTAAGTGCAGAGAAGAGCAATAAAAATGATTAGGGGGCTGCAGGTTAAAACATAGGAACAATGGTTGCAGGAACTGGGCATGTCTAGTTTAATGAAAAGAAGAGCTCGGTGTGACATGATAGCAGTCTTCCAATATCTGAGGTGCTGGCAAAAATAAGAGGGAGTCATAGCAATAGCAGTAGACTTATATACCGCTTCATAGGCCTTTCAGGCCTCTCTAAGCGGTTTACAGAGAGTCAGCATATTGCCCCCAACAATCTGGGTCCTCATTTTGCTCTGTGAATCCATGGAGAGCTAACCCGAACCCTAAGTGG